ATTCATCTCCAGAGAGAGAGGAACGTGTGGAGAGACTTTGAGAAGAAGCAATGACTCCAGAGGAATTAATTTTAGAAAGGTCCGTTGGAGTGGGATGTTTTACGGAAAGAGAGAAAGAGGTATTGTTGGTGTTGGAAGGAATGTTGCCCATTCGTTTTGTGTGTGATTCGTTCGTTGAAAATTATTTTTTAAACATGACATTTGACGTTTACCTTGCTGAGACAAAAGGAAACTCAAGGTCTCAAATTCGATGAATAGACATTCTTCTAGTGGTATTCTTCTTTCATTGGCACTTGAATCCAATGGAAAATGTAAACGCTGGTCTGCATTGACCATCTTCAAGAATTTTACAATTTCTGAAAGATGCATTTCCAAATGTAGAATTCACAAAATCATTCATCAAAATCCAAATGTACAAGAAAGAGAACTCACGAACTGTTCAAGAAGAAAAAAATTCTTGTCATTTCATCATCCTTGTGTGTGTGGTTGTTGTTGAACCTCTATTATAGATCCCCCGATATTAATCATTTAATAATTCGTTCGCTCATTCTCTCATAATCATCATTCGAACGTTCATACCATATTCATAGATATTCAAAATGAAAATTTCGGATCAACCAATTCATTCGTTAACATCGGCAAATGAATCTCCTCCACAATGTATTATACAAGAGGATGATCCAACAACAACAAGGAGGATGATGATGAATGATGATGATATCACATTGAATCAAGAAGATGATGAACAAGCCTTTCAACAACAACATGACAACGATCCGCGTTCATCATCATCATCCTCTTTTAAAATTCATACTTTGGGAGATTTCAAACAAGCTCTCTTACAACATATCAGACAGGAATGTCCAGCCGTTGTTTCTCCTCCTCATCATCATCAGTTTCGTTCCGATCTTAAGGATGAGGGTGAAGAGGAAGACGAGGATGAAAAGGCTTCTTCTTCTTGTCGTTGTCCGACACCTTATTTGTTTTTTCGGAAGAAAAAATAAGAGGAATTTATTTGTTTGGATCTCAAACGTATCAATGTAAGAAGAAAGTTGAGAAAAGAAATCAGGATGAGAAGGAGGAGCATGAGGAGGAGAGAGTACTCAGAGTATTAAGTAATGATCGGAAGAGTGAATTGAGATATTTGGCTTCCTCGGATTTTGATGTTTTATTGGTTTGTGATGATTTGTATTCGACGGATAGTTCTTTGGGATCGTATTCGAGTGAAAAACAATTTAAATGGGAAACTGGTTTAAGTTTGGATTTTGTGGAGGGCAATGAAACAAATTTTTGGAATTTGATATTTCATTCTATAATACTTGCTATTTTATTTCATACATGAATTATCATCAACCTGTGTTCATTCAGAGTGTTACAAACAAATATTGGGAAGATGTGTTTGTGGTATTTGAAGATGATAAGATGAAATATTTCAGAAGCACGTGGTGTGACTGGAACATGTCCATCCCACGACTCAAAGTTGCATTTTCAACAGAGCTCGATTATTGCATGGAAAAAGCACATCGATTTTGGAACATGACAATAGGAGAGACCGATGAACTGAAATACAATGATAATTATAATAGATATACATTGAATAGAACAACGGAAGAGTTGAAGAAAACTTCGAAAAAAAACATTGCTCATGGTTTACGAAAACTGAGGTTTGCCTATCAGTATTTGGAAAATGGAAAAATCATTCACTTACAAGAATGGAATGCATTAGCACAAGAGGTATTCGACAAAACTAAATACTACTATGAGTGGATGCAATTCGAAGACACTTACAAACCTATTTATGAAGAAAAAAGCTGCAATTTCAAACCGTGTGTGAAAATATAATAGGAGTTGCGGAGCGTTTACTCACTAACTATGATGACAATGTTTCACTAGCATTCTTGTCATTCCTCAACAGTTACTGCTCAAAAGATAATCAAGAGGGAAGAAAGCGCGTACATGAATTCATGAACTCCACACAAGCATTGACACAAGAAGACCAAGAAACTGTTCAACACTCGGTGCTCTATCTTTTCAAAGACGTGCATTCCTTGACAAAATTATTCAATATTGATGTGTCACATTTTGATCCATCATGTGAAACAACAACTCCACAGCAAGTCGCTCAATGCACAACTTTTCAACTCTCTTTGAATCTCAACATGTTTTATTTAAATTATGATCGTAAAATAAGTAATGAAGTGTTGCAATGTGATGGTGCAATCATTGAGCTAATGTCTTCTCCACAACAATTCCGATTAGTATGCGCTCCGAGATGGTTTATTCCAGATATTCGAGACCAACCTGAAATTGCGATCAGTTGTCAATCCTTGTCATGCTTTAAACTACCCTATGGTGACAAAGTGAGTTTATTCTTCCATAAAAACGCTTGGACAATTGCCTGTTCAGAAATTGAACGAGCAAATTGGAAACGATGGGTATTGTTGGATAATGTTCCGTCCAATTCTGTGAATTCATGGAGAGATGATTTTTGGAACATTTGGAAGAATTTGAAAATGGAATTGCCTCCAGAAAATATGCAAGACAAAACATTTCATTTTGTGTGGAATAAGCATCAAGGCATTTCTTTGGTGTCCGTTCGTGTGAATCAGACATGTCAAATAATATCACATTCAGAAATGGTCTCGCTATGTGAAAAGTTGAATTGGAATGTTTTGGAACCAATGAAAGAATTGGAATTCTCAACTCTTTCATCCGGCAAGTTGTTTTGGAAGCAAGCACTTGAAAAAGTGCCTCATTAGATCCAACCATCTATGAAGGACTCATTTTCCATCACTCTGGAAGTGCCAATCATGCAACAAATGTGCCCATTCTTGAAGTGAAAACTCCAATTCATTATCTCATGCCCAAATTGAACATTGTCAACCATTTCTATTCTGGTACAGAAATTTTGAATTCGAGTGTGATTGAGAATCCTGATGACTCTTTGGTTCGATCGGATGTGAATGACATGGCACTCTTTCAAGCAGCAGTGATGCACTCTCAAGAATTGAACCCGAAAATTCAACAGGTCATTCAACAGAGAAATCCATTATTTTTGAATGTTTACAACCAATGGGTGGAACATCTCGCTCAATATGGCATGGAACGACCAATGATGACTGACCACATGGATACCAAGCAATATTTGAAAGAAAAGATCATTGCAGATATTTTGAAAATTGAGCCATTGGATCATGAAATGGTATTAGACATTATTTATGAAATGTAAAGAACATGTTGTTTTGGTCAATCAACCATTATATTGAAAATATTTAAAGTACAATTAAAATAATGGCAAATTTGATACTGATCTATCTTGGAATCACAGATTGCAATCACAACGAAGAAGAGGATGTGATTGTTCCAAACTATTTATTCGAAACATTTCAGCATGAATTGTTAAGGAGTAAAAAATTTATTCTCGAACTTCAACAGGAGGCAAATCTTCAACGGAAAAATGGACTCTGATCCGAATTGTGGAGGATAACAACTGTCCAACACGTTCTTTTGGATTTTACACTAAAAAAACGGCTATTAATTGCAAATCCTTGTTTTTGACCTTGGATGGTGAGCATCTGAAGAGTGTGAATATTTGCAAATGAGACTGAGAGGGAATTTGTTCTGCAACGTGTAATTTAATGTCTATGAAAATAATTTGGTTTAATATTTCATGTTCAGGTAATAATACAATGTTTCACAAGGTCATTAAACTGTTTTTACATTTAGTTATTTGAATTGGCCATGCTCGATTGTCGTTGCATCATTTCTCTGTATAAATTTGTATCTTTAAAAGTTTCAAATAAGTGAACCAGCATGGATGTTTCAATGTCACGAGCAATTTCATCAAATAAATCAATTGTGCAACCTTTTTCGTCAAGTTTCTTTTGCATGGCGTTAATCAACTTTTTGCTTGTATTGATCCTAAACATGGCATCTTCTTCAAGGAATGTAGCAATGATGTAATTTGCCTTCATTTCTTTTTCTGACAGTGTTCTCTCGGTGGGTGGAATTTGAATATCAATAGTTTCAATTGAGCTTTCAGTGTTAATATTTGATTCAAGGTTGTGTGATCTCTTGCACAGGATCTTATATTTAATCACTTGTTCCAAGAAGATGACCAATTCCAAACAAAAAATGTTACTCAAATAAGCTTTAAAATAGTTTCTCATAGTGGCATTTTCCAACACTTGTCTCACTGTCACTTGTTTGCTACTCATAATCGAAGAGGTCGAGTTTGTGGAAGAGCAACTGGATTTTCTTTTAGGGATCGATAAGCGATTCGTATGAGGCGCTTCATGAATGGTGGCGCTGCTGCTGTTTTTCTCAGCATGGTCATCATGACTAGTCTCTTTCTCTTCAGACAAACTTGACAATTGATGATTTTGTTGTTGTTGTCTCTGTTGAACATGTTCTTCACAACCAACAATGGCAACATGTTTTCTGGCAGCTCTAAATATTTCTTTCATGGTTGGGAATAATTTCATTAATTTTGGAATGTATTCTTCTGGAGAAGACTCTAAATGTGTGGATGTAATTTGTGAAGAAGATTCACTCTCTTCATTGTTTGTCAATGATTCGTTGTTGTGCATGGGTTCGTTCAAGTTTTTGGAATCTCTTCCCAATTTGAAGATAAAAGCTCCGTAGTCTGGTCTCTCCGTTAGACTCTTATAGAAATAACTCTGTTCAATCTCTCCATCTTTAACGAGATGCATACAAAAGAGAGACATCAATTCCATTTCTTTAATTTCTTTCAGGGATGGGAAGAACAATTTTCTCTTTTCTGTGATGAGCATTTTGATCATGGTTGGCATGGCCATACAATGTTTTACAATTCCTGCTTTTTCAACCATTAGTATTCTCTTCATGGGAGTCGAAATTTTACAATGCATTAATTGTGTATGTGAAATGAGCTTGGAAAAAGTGTTGACATCTTCCTGGTGACAAATGACAGGTATAATATTCATCAACAAGAACGAAGAGAGATAACCTTGCAACGCATTCAACGTCTTTTGACACAATGGGCATCCATACCACTTGATGACCACCAACAATAATCGATGATGAGCACTTAATTGAAGAACTGAGTGTCCGCTCGGATAAACAATCATTTCATCAAAGGTTTCCAAACGTGTCATGTTCACAGAAGATGATCCGCTCGATGCAGTAAAGAAAGAAGATGAAGATGAACAACAAGCATTCTCACAGACTTGTTGTTGGTTCATATTGTCGTCCATAGGCATTGGTTGTTTGTTTTCTTTTGAAGCGAATGAGAATCGAGGATTAGACATGAAATTTCTTCTCGAATGTCAAGGTAACAGCAATTCGGTGAAGAGAAGATGGTGAGGCAATTTTTGTGTGTGTGAATAATGATTCGGCAGTCTCAAGACTCATGGAGGATGGATTTTTAGGGGCATTTCACATGTGGAGGTGTGGGGTCATCGATTGCGGACAAGTGTGTGTGTGTTGATGAGACATACCTTAGAATCCCGTGCGCACGAGGTGCCCTATGAGCCATTGGACTCAAATTGGATGTTAGTGCTCGTTTATTTTTCTTTTTTAGGTTATACGCATTGAAGGTGTTGTTGGTGACTTGACTTATATTCATCTTCTATCATCATCAACGGATAAGAAACACACAGTTCTCGTATTTCTTATCCTGTAGCCTCATGTGTGTTTTTCTAACTTTCATCATAATGGTGTCATTCATGCCTTTTTTGAAATATTAGGAGGTCCTTCAGGATCGCAAGATGGTGCATTAGGAAGTCGATTCCTTTTTTTCATTTCTGGAAAGTGTGATGGCAAGAAAATGTGAAATAGGGTCATTTGGAGGGCTATACAATGACCTGTCATTTAGGGTTGCTTGATGGCATCAAGGATGAGACCAGCAGTGTCCATGACTGTATCCATACAGTAATTTTTAATTGGCAACACCAACCGTCAGTATCCAAAATAAGAAATCATAGACCATTCTACTGTAATGCAAGATGGTATTATTTTGAAAGAGGTGATCAAATGATGGTGCCGTGCCGAGTGCTCACTGTGACAAATTTGTCTTGATGTATATTCATCTTCCATCATGATCGAAAATGTGAGAGAGAGATCCATTCCTATCATGTGAGTTTTTCTGGTTCTCAACACCGAAAGAACAGTGACCGTTCACAATCCAAAATAAAAGTTCCCCAAACTCATTGATTGTATTCTGCGTGCCGAATGAGATCCTTAAATATCCATCTCGCAATCAGAGATAGTAATTTCTAAATTACGAGAGATGTTTTCTTTCAAGGAAAGTGTGTCACTGTAGCAGAAATCGAATGAAAATATGAAAAGGGTCAAATGCGAGAGAAGTCGCACAAAAACCCGTTAACACACAAAAAAGAAAACATGGACTCTTCTCCTCGTGATTCTGTTACAACCACCACCAATTCTGCCATCTCTCTAGGTCGCTCGAAAACCGATGAAGCGAATGTTGCCTTCGGAAACAAGAATGTCTCTTCGAGCACTGGTAATATGTCACATTTTCTTGGTCGCGCGCCAAAACATACATCTCTAACCAGTACTACTTCATCCAACGACGTTTCGCCATTTGTTGTTCGTATTTCCTCTCTTCAGGATTGTAAATCAAATCGTTCTCACTCCTCTTTGACCATAATGACAGATGACTCGAGCTCAGAAAGTGGAAACTCTAGAAATTCCTCATGTTCCAAATATATAAGAGAGAATGTTAAGGTGCCACTCGAAATGTTGGATTCCATGATTGTTCATCCGAGTGGTCATTCAGTGTTGCAACTCAGCGCCAAGCATCGTGTCATGTTGGTCTTTATCAAATGGTTTGGATGTCCATTGTGTCAAAGCGTCGTTGATGAGTTACAAAAGTACTTGTCGAGTTTTTTGCTGTTAAATATTGTTCCTGTGGCGTGTCATCAGGAAGATCCAGATAAATTCTCAAAATACATTGCACATACTCAAATCATGCATTGTTCCGTTACGAATGAAATGAAGAAAGGGTTTATGGTCCAGAGAGCTTCCTTACTTCGTCACGCCATGATGATGCCTACCTTATTTGCATATATGGCCAAACATAAGAAGAAATTCTTTCTTCCCTCTCGAAAGGAAATGAAACAGATGGACATGCTGTCTTCTTTTGGAATGTACATGGTTTTTAAGGGAGAGGTCTGTAATAGTTTCAGCTCTGAAAAGTTAAATGAAAGACCAGATTACGGAAGTTACATTTTCCAGCTCGAAGAAGAAGAGCTCTTGTTTAAGGAACAAACACCTGAAGAATTCATTCCTGATATGTTAAAACTATTTCCAACCATGAAAGAAATTTTGAGAAAAGTTAGAGTGGAAAGAACCATGAATGTCCCTAACCTCAATATTGAAAATATTGCAACTAATAACAATGTCGATACCGATCAAATCACGTTGAAGATGGTACTGGAAAATGCATCCATGAGAAGATTCTTCAAGGCATTCCTCGCCAACTCATTATGTTTGGAATCATTAATCTTCTATGAACAAGTGACACTATATAAGATATTGTGTGATCAAGAACAATACTTTGTGAACTCGCATTGTAAATTAACCAACCAATCAAATACAGCATCAAGAGGAGCTGTATCAATTCTTTCAGATATTGAAAATTATATGGAACTGAAAAGAAGAACTGAACAAAAGGCCAAGTATATCATCGAGACATTTCTAGAAGATCAATCCATGTTTCTGATCAACACGAGTAAGAAAATCATTTCGAGAGTGAAAACAACAATTGAAGATTGTGGCTATACAGAAGCGTTGTTTGATGAAATTGTGAAAGATCTTGTACAGAATGTTCTAAAGCACAATTTTGAAGAATTTGTCACTAGCAAAATATTTGAAGACATGAAAACTAGATTAAGAAATAAATAGTCATCTTATTTGTTGTGATCGTGTTTGGAGGTTATCTACAATGTTCATGAAATCTCTCTACTTACTAAAAGTTTATGCATAAGAAGCTGCCAATTTGGAGTTCAGCAGTTCTGCCATTGTTTTTCCTTTCTTGTGAATTCTTTTACCCTCCAAATAAAGCATAGCCTCAGCATACGTATCTGGTACTACCTTATAAACGATTGGGCATGTAAAAGCAAAGTGGAAAATATTGCATTGCAGCTTTTTGCCGCTTGGAGGATCGAGAACCCAAACTTCAACACGAATTTCTAAAGACTTGTCTCCAGCATAGACAATTTGAGAAGTGAATTCTACCACGCTTCCCACTTCTACAGGCTTCAAGAAAGAGTTTTCGTTCAATGCAAGGAACACAGGCCTGTGTTTGGTGTACATGTAAGCAGTAATAAATCCAATTTCATAAGCTTCTCTTAGCAAAAAACCTCCAAATATTTTACCGTGAATATTCCTATTGGTTGGATGCATGATCATAATGTTATTTTGTTTTGTCATGCTCATTGGTATGCATGCTTGTGGTTCTCCTCCGTCAAGAGATAAGTAATGAATGGCAGGACCATTTGATTCAGAATCGTGTGAAATATGAGGCTGCTTCATCTTTTGAAGGAAAATATCATGGATGAGCAGTCTCTCGTCGTCACTTGGAGGTTTTTTCATGAGACTTGATTCACTCATGGCTTTTCTTCTTGCTTGGTTCTCTTTTCCCATTTCAAAAAGAAACTTGTCCTCTTCAGTTTGTGGAATAATGGTATGAATTTTTGTGCTCTTATTGGTGGCCTTATCGAGAGCTACCATGACAAAATAGGCAACCATTACAAGCTCTTTCTGCTCATACGCAACTCCACTTGTAAATGTATTCTTGTATAATTGTGAATCATTGAGCGGAACGTCCTTCTTGATGCTATGCACTTCGATTCTAATTTCCATGCTTGATGTACCAGTGAACGTGACCTTACCAACAATTTCTAAATCGAAGAATGGAATGATTGGTTTTTGAAGTTCAATTCGATCGATGGCAGCCGTCACTATGGTGAGTGGCCGTCTTTTATCAAAGCCGTCCGAATGTTTATAGGCTACTTCTCCAGCCACAGCATCCAAATCCTCCAAAAGTCTTCCAATACGCAATCCATTAAAAGCATTGGTATAGATGTCTCTCAGTTTTGAATCGGTAGAGAATGGCAGCTTAATGATGACCTCACTTTCGGAAGGAGTTTTTTCTCCAACTTCAAAAGTAGCTTTTTGTTCAGGGCTTACTTCTCCCGAGGATTCCAACATTTCACCCATATGTTCCTGTTGTTGTTGAGAAAGATATCTTCTCTCAAATCTGTGCTTATTCAAAAAGTAATCAAGACTGAAATATATTTCATTCATTTCAAAAATTAATGATGGAATGATTCAAAATCAAATGTAAAAGATGAATAATCAATCATAAAAAGTTAACAAAAACATACTCTTTGGCAACTCTAACAGAAGGATTTTGTGATGATTCCGTTGTGGGAGAGGACGACGAGGCTTGCACATTCTTCTCATTTCTCGTTATCATTTGTTGATGATAATTTTGCAAATGATTATGATTGCTTGTCATCCGAGAGGTCATGGAGGCTTCCTTCTTGATCAATGAATGAGTTTTGAGAAGCTTATGACAGCTCTCCCAAAGCAACGATGAAGTTTTTCGCATTTTTAATATTCTGAAATTTGTTTTCTTGATGATTGTCAGATCTTGATATCTTTGGTGAGTTATATTGAACACAATTCATGCATTCAATCAAGAAAGATTTAAGCATTTTCTTCATCTTGGAACTCTTCATACTCGTCTTGGGCGTCCTGACTTTGATCAGTGGCTTTGTCCACTTGATTCAGTTTTGCAAGTTTTTCTCGTCGTCTCATTTCAGATCGAGAAATAAACTCCAAATCGGTGCATTCAAGCATCTTTTTGACGGTATTTAAATCTTTTTGAGATATTTTCACACATTGATCTTTGAGAAGGGAATGTAGACTAGTTTGTTCTTTCTTATTGATGATAAGCAAGTTGAGAATGAATGAAGGTTCATTGGAAAGAATAGATCTTGCAACGGTGGTAAAATTTTTCATAGGAATATCTTCATAGCCCACATTGGGAAAATCTTTTTCTAATTCTTGTTGAATGGCGTGTGTGTAATTTTGTATCTTTTCAACATAGTTATTAAAATAATTAATGAGTTTGTCATTGAAATCTCGTAAACGAACTCTGTCCTCTTCGCTCCTTACAAATCCAATAATATCGTCTACCTTAGATTCCAGTACATAATTCCACATGGCTGCTTCTTTGAGCTCTCCCTTAGAAAATTTCACAATATATCTAATATCAACAAGCTGTAAAGAACTTACCTTACTAATGTATGCATTTGTTTTGTGAATATCAGAATACCACATAGACTTAACTTTAAACATCCATCCACTATTCAATACTAATACATAGCCTTCAATCCCTCTTTCATTTCTAATTGCTTTCAATAGTTCCTCAATATCGCCATTGGAAGCTGCTGTTAGGACTTTCTGATTGGAACATTCTTTAACACATTCAATGTCATAAAAATCAGCGCTTTCTTTGACTTGTTGGTAGGGGAGAAAATTACCATTCACAGTATGTCGAATTGCTAAAAGAGATAGGAATGGCTTGTCTCCATAATCAATCACAATTTTGTGATCTTTTGAGAAAAACTCAAAAAGAGGAGTGTACCCTCTGTTCATCCAATAAATACAAAATCTAATGAAGTTCTGAGTTGCAGGTGGTAATTTGAGGAATTGATCTTGCTGAACAATAGCTTCTTCATCAATTTTAAAAACTAAAAATTCCTCTTCTTCTGGTGAAAGTTCTTTTAACATCAACGGGAGTTGTGGTATATTTTTCAAATGATCGCGAAGAATTACCTTAATATCTTCTGTTTGGTTTGCATTGTTATTTCTTTGTGAACACTCATCACCTAATTGATATATCAATTCTTCCATTCCAATCACAATAGAATTGGTGTGAGATAATTTGGTCCTCATTCTCACTTTGAATGAAGTGTACTCTCGTCTAGCATTTCCATGATCAATCAATGCTGTTGCATAATTGTTCTTTGAAAGTGAGACAATCGCATGTTCTTCATCGCTAGAGACACATCTCTCAATAATGGGTGAACACAAACTTCCATCCAACTTTTCCAGCAACACATATGGAGGATCTCCACCCTGATTGTGATGTTGTTCCAGAGCTTTCTTCAATAAATATTCAACTCTCTTCTTGGAAGATTCCTCAAACTCATCAATATTGAAAAATTTAGGCATGGTTCTGGACATAATTTTCTTTGTTTCATCATCAAAGGCTAAACCTCGGACTTCTCTCCGCAACATTCTTCGATGATACTCATTCGGATTCTTTGAAAATAATTCTTGTAATTGATCAAATCCCGAATATTGAAATACGGGAGGAAATAATTTAGAGCTCACATTTTCATAGGATGCATAAATGAAAGGAGCTCGATGATTGATCGTGATACAATTTTCAACACCCTTGATATTTTCTTCAATTTGAGAGAGATGCGTGAGTTTGGGATAGTGTAGGATGTCCATGTCATGGAAGGATGGATGAATCGAGCAAGAGGAAGAAATCATTTTTTTTTGAACTAGTGCAAAACGTTGATAATTGTAACGAATAGTGCAAATTCAGAAACTCATCGACTAAGTATAGTGTTTCGCCATTGTCGCCTTTGAAGGTTGTTGTTTTGTGCATACCCTGAATACAGGATAAAGAAGTGAATCAGTGATTCCATTGTTTATTGGAAATTAAAATAGTAAGAAAAAAAATGACTTCGCTCAACTTGGATAGCCTTCCTCCTTCCATCATGATGGCTGAAAGTCAACTCTTGGATCAAACGCCCCGATCTGCTGTTTCAAATCAATCATTTAGTAAGAAGAACAATTCAAGCAAAACATCAACCTTACCCGATAGCATTGATTTCGGAGTAGAACCAACCTCCGAAATTATTTTATCTGATGATGATTCCAATCATCACAACAACAACAATACGACGAAAAAGAGTGGCAAAAATGTAGAGGATGATGAAATGGAATTTCGATTTTCTCAATACCAAGATGATGACGACGAGGACCAACAGGAAAATACCACTTCCGATCAAGACCAACAACAAAATAATCAACTCTCACCTTCTTTGATCCCATCTTCTCAAGAGAGTAGTCCCAGTGTTAAACTAAGCTCTTCATCAAGCAAAAAGAAATCTAAAAAGAAAATAACTAATGATTACCCTTCCACACAAGAGCAAGCTGAATCGGATGATAATAATGAGTCACCAAAAACTAAAGAAACAACACCTAATTTTTCATTATCTGATAACGACAACATGGACTCTAAAAAGTATTCCCTTCGAAAAACTCCTGTTAGAAAATATCAAGAAACCAAACGTAAAAAACATCAATTGAAAAAACAAAAACAAGCAGTTCAAACAAGTGACGATGACTCAGTAGTTGAAAATGCCATGGACTCAAGCGATGGAATTCCTGATGAGGATATTGAGATAATGGAAGCAAACGCAAAGAAAAGAGAAGAAACAGAAGAGGAGCGCCAACAACGACTAGAATTGGAAAAACAGAAAAAACAAGAAGAACTGAAGCAAAGAAAAAAGAGATTAGAAGCATTATCAAATTCT